TACAGGAGGATATTGCGCCTCCTTCTCTGGCAGAGCCTCTGGTGGATTCGAACCGTGTTGCCACTAGGCCACCAGAGCTCCCCTATTTTGCTTATTTCTTATATAATCTCTTTGAAGTAATATCATAGTCGTTTCACATATGAGGAAATTGAGGACCAGGCAAAGAAATAATTTCCTGAACTTCACATTACTCCTAAGTCATAGAATCAAGTTTGAAATCTTGGCCTTTTGTCTTCATGGTCTATAGGCTCTTAGTAAAATTCTATCCCAAGCCCCTTTTTATAAAACATTCTTTGGAATCATGATTTTAAAGGCTGCTGAATAATACCCACCAATATAAACGGTCTGTAAGGAGTTGCAATGCTAACCCAAAGGAGGCCTGTGTCAGGGAGCTCAAATCCACCAGCTGCTCCCTGAGAGGAAGATGGACAGTCTCCTCCCATGGGACTTACCACCCCTTTAAATCTGCTGGAGGGTCAGCTATGAGTCTATTTAGACTCACCAGCAATGAATTCATGAATGATAAGCCTAACGAACATTTCAGGGTCAAAATGTGAGCTATACATTTTCATGGACTCACCAAAAAGGGACATTTGCAAAATTCTATTTTAAAAAGACTGACAACATGGAAATAAGTTTACCTGACTTTTTTTTCTGTAATAAAGCTAGTTTTCAGGAGGCAGTTGAAGTCCTGTTTCTCACACCTGCCAGCTGCCAGCTGTGTGGCCTCAGACAGGTCACTGGACCTGAGACTCAGTTCCCCCTTCAAGAAATGGCACAGCAATGATGGGAAGGAGTTAATGATGTGCTGGGTGTCCCACAGGTGGTGATTGGCCTCTGGAAGGGCCACAGAAGGAGCCAGGGGGATGTGGGGGGAGTGAGGGACGCTTTGTAGATGGTGAAGCGCACCTCAGAACAGAGGGAATGTGGCATCTGGCTCCTAGTAGAGGTGTTGGCACCCCAGGGTCTGCCCCTTGTGGGAGAGTTAGAGCTGAGGGGTAGGGTGGGAGTGAGAGGGGCCCCTCACCTGGGAAACTGGCTTGGTGGGCAGAGCAGCTGAGGTGCAGCTGGGTCTGTGGCCCAGTAGACAGTCTTGTGGGTGCCTCACCCCAGCCCAATCTTGGGTTTGCAGCTGGGTCCTGCCTCCTCTGGATAAGGGCCATGGCTGGGACGTGGCTGGTGCTTCTCCTGGTTCTCGGGTGTCCAACCCTGCCTACAGGTAAGCTCCCTCCCTGAGTCCCCTTCTGTCCCCCATTGGTCTGGCCAAGCCCATCCTCTCTCTCATTCAGAGCCTCTTTGGATGCGAATGGGAGGCTGAGGGAGGGGAGAAGGGGTTGCACTAGAAAAGGATTCTCTTTCCCCATTATATTCCACTCTCTCACTACCTTGATTTGGGGTCCCCAAATCCTGCTCTTCCAGAATCCACAGTGTTGGTAGAAGAGGCAATCAGCTCTCAGAAGGCTAGAGAAATCAAGCAAGGTGGATGGATTCGTGGGGCTGGGGCTTAGGGTTTCCAGTGTCATCTGTGCCATATGAACTGCTGGGACAGGGGCAACATTGTGAGGTCCTGTCCAGCCCTTCCTGTCTGACCTGTTGCCTTCAGGATGCTCCATTCCAACAGGTCTCAGGGACTCTCATGTCTTCTCTCACTGGGCTCTTGGTGATGATGTCCCAAGGATATTTACTCTAACCTCCAAAAAGCAAAGCTGGAGCCGAAGGGTAATGTTTGGAGAGAAGAATTTCAACAAAGGAAACTTTTAACCTTTGGGCCAGGAATTCTCCTTGATGCTCTGGTCCCCAGCCTGTCACAGCCCTGGGAAGATAAACCACACTCATGTGGAGCAGGGAGAGCCGATTACAGGACGCCTGAGCTCTAGGAAAGAAGCAGCTGGCATGAGGAGGAGCAATCCCAGAGGGCTTCATAGGGGAGATGAGATTGAACCTCAACATACGGAGTATGTCTGCCTAACTAAAACAGCTTGAGAGTTTGCAGAACTGTGTTTCCTTTCCTTGGAAAGCTTAACTGTCAGAATAGTTTGCACCTATGATCTTTTCATAACCATTTTCCTGGGCTGGTCTTACTATCCTCAGTGTATTGAGAGAACAGAGTAAACTCAGTGGAGGAGTCAGGAGCTGCCTGAGGTAACATCCCAGGCCTGTCATTCTTTAAATTAAGGTCATGATGCCAACCCAAAGGCTGGCAGTTCAAATCCAACAGCTGCTCCAAGGGAGAAAGAGAAAAATTCTTCCTATGAGATTTACTGCCTCTGAACACCTGCTTGAGGGTCAAATAGGAGTTGGTTCCAACTCGACAGAACACAACAACCTGTGAAAAAGCATGGGATTTAGAGCCATGAAGACCTGAGTTCAAATCCTGATTTGGTTTCTTACCAGCCACATGCTTGTTGGCCGGTTGTTTGACCACTAAGAAATCATTCTTGAGCAACAAACACCCTCACCCCCCACAAGACTCTTGGACCCCGAGACCCAGGCGTCTCATTGTCAGTGGCTGCACTTTAATCATGGTGGGAATTTATTTGTAGGTTTTCATTTTTGAGATCCTACTGATATTTTTAAAAATCTAAATATTTTAAAGTAATATTTTGAAATATATTAAATGAGACATTTAGTCTGAAAAGACTAAGATGATGAGAAAACTCAGACCTATTCGAAGAAATATAGGACAGATGTTTCCAGAATCCATATGAATTATTTTTGTTAGATTCTTTTAAACTATGAAATAAGATAGACTACCAATAAAGACCTGAAAGCAATGTAGACATCCATGCACTCTCCAAATGCTAATATTTTGCTATATTTTAATCTGATGTTTGGGGGCTTTTTAATTTTGTTTTTATTTTAGATCAGTTTGCATACACAATTAATATACATTGTGTTTCACACTTTCCTTCATTCACATTATGTTTCATATAGTTATTCCCATCCATTGTATTTTATTTGTCATTAAATTAATCACCAGTGAACTATGCCCACCATTATCCTGTCTTTTCAGTTCCCCTCCAGATCATTCCCATTTCCTTTATTCCCTCCCTCCACCCTGGGCTTTTTTAAGAAATGAAATGTTAAGGGTACCCTTTGAAGCTCTCTTTGATGCTGTTCCAGATCCAATTTCCTCCCCTTTTCCCCCAGAGGTAATCACTCCTGAGGATGGCCTAATATGGGGTTATAATTATTTGTTGTGCATCTGTCTTTCCCTTGGGACCAAATGAGTTCCCTGAGGGCAACAACAGTGTCTTACAAAACTCCCAGAGTGGTGGAGGCGCTGAGCTCCAAGTGCGCTGACCACGCAGGACAGATGGAATTTGAGTGAGAATTATTATTAAAATAATTCGTTTGAGAGCCTCGATGGAGAGCAGCCCGCCTTGGGGGAAACAGCGGAGCAGCGTGCCTCAGCCGGGAGCAGCCAGCCTCGGTGGGGAAGAGGGAGTCATGTCTGAGACCCACGCGTCAGCAGTAAGAAGTTAAAAACTTCATTGAAAGTACTGGCAAAAAATAAAGCCCTGGGAATTGATGGAATATCAACTGACTTGTTTCAACTAACAGATGCATCCCAGGATGTGTTTATCAGTATATGCCTGGAAATGGGGAGCGCATCTTCTTGGTCAACAGAATTGAAGATTTTTTTTTTCTTGTTGGCTTCTTGGCCAGCAGGATGGAAAAAAAAAATATTTGAATGATGATCAAACACAATGTGGAAATTATAGAACAATATCACCAATATGCCATGTAAGCGAAATATTGCTGAAGATCATCCAGAAATGGCTTAATAAAGAACTGTCAGAAGTTCAAGGTGGGTTTAGGAGAGGCAGAGATACCATTGCTGATGGGAGATGGATCCTGGTTGAAAGCAGAGAATACCAGAAGAATGTCTATTTGTGTTTTATTGCTTATACAAAATCATTTGACTATGTAAATCTTTACAAACTATGGCTAACTTTGAAAAGAATGGTAATCCCAGAACACTTAATTATGTTCATATGAAATCTATACCTAACCAAGAAGCTATTGCTGTTCAGAGCAAAGAACAAGGCATAGTTTAAAATCAGGAAAGGTGTGCATCAATCAGGATTGTAACTTTTTCTATACCTATTCAATCAGCATGCTGCAAAAATCATTCAAGAAGCTGAACACTATGAAGAAGAATGTGACATCAGGATCAGAGGAAGACTTATTACAACCTGCATTATTTAGACGACACAACCTCGCTTGCTGAAAAGGAGAAGGATTTGAAGTAGTACTAAACATGACAATATTTTCGAAGAACCTATAGCATTGAAGTGAAAGCTCAGTCAATTTATGTCAATATTTAACATGGATAGATCTGAATTTTTAACATTTTAAAATATACTTCTATGCTATTTTTTAAATATATTTCTACGCTTTATACAAGTTACTCCCACCTATTCTTTCCATGTTCCGTTGACTCTCTAGCCTGCTTTTGCAAGTATATATTTTATTTCTGTACTTTAATTTCTCATCCTTAAATTTTAAGTAAATTTAATTTTAAGTAATTCAAATTTTCTTTCTTGGATGAACAAAACAGAAAGAAAGTCATATCTATTTTCCAAATAATTAAAAACCCTTAGAATGCTCTAAGCCACTAAACATCATTTACGATTTTCTTTTTTTTCTGGTGGAACTCTTTTTTTCCTTATTAATTTTAATGAACATTTATTATTTTCTTAACTAATATATAGAGCTGCCTTGTATTTCTTAATTAGTCAATGAATCATTATTTATTATTGATTAAATATGAAATACAAAGCGAAAAACCCAAAAAACTCCCTGAGCCTGTAACAGAAAGTTGTTCAAATGGATGGGTGGGTAGATGGATGGGAGTGGGTGGGTGGATGGATGGATAGATGGACAGATGAATGGACATATAGGTAAAAAGAAAGAATACTGTGGTGTATTCACACAGTGGAATACTATGCTGCTTTGAAAAACAAGGAACTCTTGCAATGTTATTCAAAATGGGTGACCCTGGAAGACATTATGCTGAGTAAAAAATCTCAGTCACAAAGAGACAAATATTACATGGTGCCACTGTTATAGAATGAGGCTGACATTGGGATGGGGGTAAGACTGAGAAAAACTGGATAAATTATGTTTACTGCATTGAAAAAAATGAAAGAAATATATATATATATATATATAAAATTGCTGCAATTTAAATTGCATATGAGTAATTAATGTTCTGTTCCATAATCAGCCTCAATGCTTGTTTAGACAGCTGATAATGAGTTCTGTATTGTCTCTTTCTATAGATAAAGCTAATTTGATACTTGTATATTCCTTTAGGTAAAATCCATGTATATAATTGTCATTTATGTTGTTCTGGGTTTTTGTAAAAAGGTATGAGCAATGAATAAATTATTGATAAAAAAAGAAAGGATACAAGAAAGGATGTATGAATGAAATAATAGATGGAAGGACAGAAAGATGGTTAGATGAGTAAACATAAGAAGAAAGGGAAGGACGTGTAAATGGTGGGATAGACAAATGGGGTGTGGAAAGCTGGAAACCCAGTAAGAGCCCTAGCCTACAATGATGGGGTGGCCTGGGCGGGTGGGGGTGCTGGTGCTGGTGAAGACACAGAGGGTCTGGCTTACCACAGCTGCATACTCTTGCAGGTTTGATTGCCACACCCTTCCCCTCTTTGGCGCCTCCAGTCACACTGTTGGTGGATGGGAAGCAGCAGATGCTGGTGGTCTGTCTGGTTCTCAATGTTGCACCCCCTGGCCTGGACAGCCCCATCTGGTTCTCAGCTGGCAATGGCAGTGAATTGGATGCTTTCACTTACGGCCCTTCCCCGGCGGCAGATGGCACCTGGACTAGCGTGGCCCAGATCTCCCTGCCCTCTGAGGAGCTGGGGGTCTGGGAGCCCTTGGTCTGCCATGCAGGGCCTGGGGTAGAGGGCAGCAGCTGGAGCACGCCACCTCTGAAGCTGTCAGGTGGGACTGCTGTGTGGTGAGGGTGGGGGGGACCACTGGAAGCTCTCTGTTCCCTTTCACACACGCTGAAACCAGGATGTGCTGGGAGGGAGGAAATGCAGGCTCTAAACCACCAGAGCATAAAGGTTGTGCAAACCATGCAGGTGAGGTGGCCTTGGGGACATGAATCCTTAGATTTGCAACTGTGATCTCTTATTTAAATCCAGGCTTTTTACATGACTTCCTGGTGATAATAACACCTCCTCTCTCTCTCAGGGTTGAGATATTTATATCATCCTCTCTGTGTACCAAAGCTCTGGTGGCATAGTCTATAGGGCATTGTACTGCTAATCCAAGGAGAGTACCTCTCTGTTGGTTCGAATCCACTAGCATCTCCTCAGGAGAAAGACGGACTATTTCCCCCCATGTGATTTACAGCCTGGTCCTCTGTGAGTCAGTTCTGACTAGTTTTCATGCAGGGAAAAGTGGAAGGTCAGAGAAAAGACAAGAAGAGTCTCGACATGATGGATTGACACAGCGTCTTAAGCACAATGATACCTAGTGACTCGATGAATTGACATTAAATGCTGTAGCATTGTCATGATGTAGCTTCTGAGAATAGCTAGGCTAGGACAAGGTTCACATCTATTGTCTATAGGGTCACTGTGAGTCATATATGACTCGATGGCATCTAATAACATCAAACAAGTGGACAGAGGCTCCGCAGGAGAATGATGAACAATCTCCTCCTGTGTAAGTCAGAGCCTCTGAAAACCTGATGCAGGGTCAGCTATGAACCGGTTCTGACTCATAGGCAATGAGTGCTTTGAGATATGACAAAGGAGTCCTGGTGGCCTGATGTGTATATAAGATACTAGGTTGCTAGTTCAAATCCACCAGCCTCTCAGAGGAACAAAGGTGAGCAGATTCTCCTCTGAAGACTTACAGCCTTGGAGGACTCGAGTGTCACTGGGAGTCAGAATCCACACGCTGACAGTGGATATGGTGGGTTTCTCTGAATGCCAGGGCAGTGGTGGTGAAATTGTAACACCCTATACAGAAGACATGGGTTTAATTCCTGACTAAAGCATCTCCCACAAACCTGTTCTTCAATAGTCGCCTTTGTGTTGCTGTAACGCTGAACACGTTTCGGTATAGTCTTCAAAACTAAGCTTAGGAAGAACGTTCTGGCAATCCACTTCCTAAACTCAGCCAATGAAAACCCTACAGATTGCAACAGTCTGATCTGGTGTCCTCATGAGGCAAGGGTCAGCTTGACAGCAGTTAACTGTGATGTGTGTGTGTGTGTGTGTGTGTGTGTATATATATATATATATATATATATGTCACAGGCAACTCGATGGCACATAACAACAACATATATATTAATTAATTAATATGTGTTAATTATACCCTGTTATCTCACTCTCTCATGGAACCCACTATAGCGAACCCTCTATTGGGTTCCCTAGGCTGTAAATCTCACAGGAAGAGATTGTCTTCAGAGTTCTTCGCTTCAGAGTTGCTGGTGGATTTGAGCTGCCAAAGACTATGACAGCAGAGCTCCCTAATGATTGTTTCTGTTGCGATGTGTTATTTATTATGTACCATCAAGTTGACTACGACTCATAGAAATCCTACAAGCAAGGGATTGGAACTTTGCTCTTTCCTGCACCATCCTCACAGTCTCCACTGTTCTCCAGCCCTTTGTTACATCACTGTATCACGGTGCCCTGATTATACCCTAGCCAAATCAAATTATCATTAAAATAATAAATATCTGTCAGCTATTGTGTGTTTATACCAGACACAGCCCTGAATACTTCACATTTGTGGGATCACTCATACTATTTCTCCCATTTTACAGATGGGGAAACTAAGACACCAAAAGGTGACTTGTTCAAAGTCAGCTATTATTATTACTTAGATGACTTACTTCCTCTTTCTGGGCCACCTCAATTTCATCATCATCCAGAAGGGACTGTTTGTTGTATCCGTTTCCTTACCTTCCAAAGAATCCTGAGATTCCATGTATAAAAGTGCAAAGCATCTTAGTCCCACTGGGGCACAGAACAGGTTCAGTGGGGAGCAAGGAAGACCTAGGCCTGTCAGAGAAGGGTAGCAAATGGGCTCAGGGTCCTTGCTGCTGTTGCATTTGTTTACCCAATGTGGCCTAACACCAACTCGTGGGAGGGCCTGGGCATGGCACAGAGGGGGCAGAGCCGCAAGCACACAGCCCATGCCAAAGGACTTATTTTCCTCTTCTGTACTAGCAGGAGAGGCTTCCGCAGCCAGGACCTGCCTCAAGGAACCTCTCAGAGGTGAGTACTGGGGTGGGGGTGGGGCAAATGACGAGGGATCACGACCTTGGGCCCTGGAAGGTGGAGTGCCTGGCTCTGATCCTGATGGCTTCTTCCTGTGGGTGGGTTGGTGGGTTTGGCCTCCACTTGCTAAACAACATGCCTCTGGAAACTCTATGAACTTTGATAAATGTCGATAGTTGTAGAGGGGCTTCAGGCCTTTTGTTCATAGACTCGCTATGAGTCATGCTCCACTCGAAGGCAATCCAACTGAAAACCCGCTGGAGGGCCCCCTAGGAGTCAGTTGCAGAAATGAGAGAAAGTGGTGGGAAATAAAACGAAAGCTAGGAAAGTATTCGTTATGAATACACGTAAGAGCTGAAGGAAGTACTTCGCTTGGAGAAGGGAGATAAAGGGGAAAGGCGCTCTCCTCAGGGGGACATCTTCCCCGGGGGCGGGATGCCCAGGTCCGGCCCAGGCTCCCACCACGCCTCCTCCCTCAGGGTTGCAAGGCCAGGCCCTGCGGCTGGGGTTGCTGCGACTACTGCTCTTCAAACTGCTGCTGTTGGACGTGCTCGTGACCTGCAGCGGGCTCCGCGGCCTGCGTGCGCCCAGAACCGGCCCGGCGCAGAGGCTCCTCCCGGGGCGCCCGGGGCTCCCCACGCTCCCAGCTGCCCGGTGGGAAGACCGCCTTCTCTGGCCTTCGCCGCCCGTCTGAACTCTCGGCTCCCAAAGACTGGACTTTGTCACAGAGATGGAGGGACGTGTGGCCGAGAGCTGCACCCAGCCCGCAACCCAGGAGCGCAATCCTGGAGGACTGACGTTCGCCACGAATGGAGCTGGAGCCTGGTGCTCTGGATGCAAACTCTTTATTCGTTCAAGTCTTGAATGTTTAGTGTGTGACCTGCTTCCTCTGTAGAATGGAGCTTCCTCTGTCTGAGTGCTTTGAGAGATGGGGAATAAAATGTCTCTCTCATCAGACTGGGGTGAAGATCACCCAGCCTCTGGGACATTTGAAGTGACAAGAACAATTAAACCAAGAACAATTAAAGAGAATTTAAATGACCCAAACAAATGAAAACTATTTTCATTCCCTTCTGCCCCCTGGGTCAGGGATGGGGAGGTGGGGGGTGGGGGGGTGGGTTGGAGATTTGCCTAATTTAGAAAATGTAGGATTAGTGCAAACTTTAAATGTGCTCATCAGCCAACAGAAAGGTTGGAGATTGGAGTCCATCCACAGACAGCTCTGTAAAAAGCCCTGACAATCTATGTCAAAAAAATAAGCTGGGGAGCTCTGATGGCCTAGTGGCAAGAAGCTGCACTACAAGCCCAGAAGTGTGCAATTTGAATCCACCAGATGCTCTGCTGCTGGAGAAGGAGGGGCAATCTCCTCCTGTACCAGTCAGATCCGATTTGACAGTAATAATACATTATTATTATAACTATTTTAAAAAATAAGCCACTAAAAACTCTATAGAGCACGGGACCACTCGGACCCACGTGGGGAACATTGTGAATTGGAATCAAATCCACTGCAACTAGTAGAGGAGGCAGAAATCTGGGAAAGTTTCCTTGAGGAAGACAGATTCTTGAGAATGAGGACCTGGGT